AGCCCCACTCCACAAAGGGGGCAGTAAAGCAACAGCAAAGAACTACAGACCAATAGCACTAACATCCCATATCATAAAAATCTTTGAAAGGGTCCTAAGAAGCAAGATCACCACCCATCTAGAAACCCATCAGTTACACAACCCAGGGCAACATGGGTTTAGAACAGGTCGCTCCTGTCTGTCTCAACTATTGGATCACTACGACAAGGTCCTAAATGCACTAGAAGACAAAAAGAATGCAGATGTAATATATACAGACTTTGCAAAAGCCTTCGACAAGTGTGACCATGGCGTAATAGCGCACAAAATGCGTGCTAAAGGAATAACAGGAAAAGTCGGTCGATGGATCTATAATTTCCTCACTAACAGAACACAGAGAGTAGTCGTCAACAGAGTAAAGTCCGAGGCAGCTACGGTGAAAAGCTCTGTTCCACAAGGCACAGTACTCGCTCCCATCTTGTTCCTCATCCTCATATCCGACATAGACAAGGATGTCAGCCACAGCACCGTGTCTTCCTTTGCAGATGACACCCGAATCTGCATGACAGTGTCTTCCATTGCAGACACTGCAAAGCTCCAGGCGGACATCAACCAAATCTTTCAGTGGGCTGCAGAAAACAATATGAAGTTCAACGATGAGAAATTTCAATTACTCAGATATGGTAAACATGAGGAAATTAAATCTTCATCAGAGTACAAAACAAATTCGGGCCCACAAAATAGAGCGAAACACCAACGTCAAAGACCTGGGAGTGATCATGTTGGAGGATCTCACCTTCAAGAACCATAACATTGTATCAATCGCATCTGCTAGAAAATGACAGGATGGATAATGAGAACCTTCAAAACTAGGGAGGCCAAGCCCATGATGACACTCTTCAGGTCACTTGTTCTATCTAGGCTGAATATTGCTGCACACTAACAGCACCTTTCAAGGCAGGTGAAATTGCCGACCTAGAAAATGTACAGAGAACTTTCACGGCGCGTATAACGGAGATAAAACACCTCAATTATTGGGAGCGCTTGAGGTTCCTAAACCTGTATTCCCTGGAACGCAGGAGGGAGAGATACATGATTATATACACCTGGAAAATCCTAGAGGGACTAGTACCGAACTTGCACACGAAAATCACTCACTACGAAAGCAAAAGACTTGGCAGACGATGCACCATCCCCCCAATGAAAAGCAGGTGTGTCACTAGCACGTTAAGAGACCATACAATAAGTGTCAGGGGCCCGAGACTGTACAACTGCCTCCCGGCACACATAAGGGGGATTACCAACAGACCCCTGGCAGTCTTCAAGCTGGCACTGGACAAGCACCTAAAGTCAGTTCCTGATCAGCCGGGCTGTGGCTCGTACGTTGGTTTGCATGCAGCCAGCAGCAACAGCCTGGTTGATCAGGCTCTGATCCACCAGGAGGCCTGGTCACAGACCGGGCCGCGGGGGCGTTGACCCCTGGAACTCTCTCCAGGTAAACTCCAGGACCCTGAGTACAAGTTTGGGAGAGGGCCTGTCGACCCTGAAGGGGTTAAATCTCTCAAACCAACCTTTGCTGGCTTTAAATTCACCAATAAGAGCACTTTGTAGGTCGGAGAAAATTTTTTACTCTGAAACGCTTTGTAAGTCGATTTTATTGTTAGATGAGGCCTTCGTAAGTCGAGGGTCCACTGTACTGCTAATTGGAAAATGAGTAGTTTAATATCTGTTCACACATTAATTTACACTTTGTGAAAGCAGTGATATAAATACCTTATAACGTACTCGTCCAGCTGTTTATGGTTGACCAAAATCTTCCTGCCCAGGGTGTGGCGGGACATCAATGTCTTGCTTGGGTTCAGTGTCTTGATCAGGCTGACAAAGGTGGGGGATTCCACTACATGCAGCGGTAGTATGTTTACCTGGAGTTTACCTGGAGAGGGTTTCGGGGATCAACACCTCCGTGGCTCGGTCTGAGACCAGGCCTCATGTTGTAGACGTAATAGACAAAATAGTCATCCAGGTAGAGCCACGGGTTCTGCGATTCCTGGTCCTCGACCTGAGCAGCCTCTGCTTCAACCACAGCTGCTGCAGACTCCTCAACAACACCCTCAGATGGAACAGAAACATCTTCTCTGTTCATAACGATAAGTGGCAACGCACCCCGGTGATCACTGATGCTGTAAGACTATAACAATGTTGCTCAGATGCTGCTGCTGCTGCTGCATTGTCAAGTCACGTTTACACGTAGTCAGCCAATAGCATGCCTGGCTGACTGTTGGAGAAGTGCCTACAACAGACAGGAACAAACACATACTCTGTTGAAAAGGCATTGCTTTCCGACTACCAACAACGTATGAAATTTTTTTTAGCAGATTCAGAGTTAGCGGAACTTTATTTAGCAGAAGTTAATTGGTTGCAGGTATGTCTTACTACTTCTACTTACACTTAGGGCACACTACACATGCATGTACAAGCATATATATACTAACCCCTCTGGGTTTTCTTCTGTTTTCTTCCTAGTTCTTGTTCTTGTTTATTTATGTTTATCTCCATGAGGATGTGGAACAGAATTCTTCCTCAGTAAGCTATGTGTGTAGTAGGAGGTGACTAGATGCTGGGAGCAATGGGCTAATAACCCCCTTTTCTGTATAAACTACTATACAGAAGGAAAAGAAAATTTTTATAAAATTCAGATGTTTGAATGTGTGTGGATGTAGTGCAGATGATAAGAAAAAAATGACTGATATTGTTATGAATGAAAAGAAGTTGGATGTCCTGGCCCTAAGTGAAACAAAGCTGAAGGGGGTAGGGGAGTTTCAGTGGGGAGAAATAAATGGGATTAAATCTGGAGAATCTGAGAGCATTAGAGCATTAGAAGGGGTAGCAATAATGTTGAAGGATCAGTTATGGAGAGAGAAGAGGGAATATAAATGTTTAAATTTAAGAATTATGTGGATTAAAATAAGGGTCAGATATGAAAAATGGGTTATAATAAGTGCGTATGCACCTGGAGAAGAGAGGAGTGCAGAGGAGAGAGAGAGATTTTGGGAGATGTTAAGCAAGTTTGTTGGAACTTTTGAGCCAAATGAAAAAGTAATTGTGGTAGGAGACCTAAATGCTAAAGTAGGAGAAACATCACTAAAGGATGTTGTCAGTCATCACTAGAGGATGCTGTCAGTTATCACTACAGGATGCTGTCAGTCATGTCTACAGGATGCTGGTAGTCATCACTACAGGACTATCACTATACATCAATACAAAACACTTCACATTAGCATCACTACATATCAGTGTCACTACACATCACTAACCAACATCAATACACAACATCACTATATAAAACTACCACATCTATCACATACAACATCTCTCATCATCATTATACACCACATTTAGCATTATATTCTACATATATCACCATCACTATACACCACATTTATCATTATGTTCTCCATTTATCACCTTCACTATTTACCACTTTCTTCACCATCACTATACAACACTTCTATCATTACTCACTACATATATTATCATCACTATTTTCCACATTTATTACCACTAGTATACACATAGTCAGTAACAGAATTCGAAGGTAACTATATTTCTCATACGTATTGTTTGGATAACATTATCTCTGAATTTCCAATAAATTATCATTCACTGATCATTTAAATTTAGTGGATTTCCAGATAAATCTAATAATTGTTCTGAACCTTCAGGTCTTAGTATCAACAATGGCATTGTTTAAAAGAGTTGCCCACATCGACTTCGAGAATTACTATGACAACGACGACCCCAACAATTATGAATGCACTTCCAAGAAGAAGAAGAAGAAGAAGAAGATAACACAGGGAGAGAGGTGCCCCTTCACCAACAATGATGAACTCGGTGAGTGGCACTACGTTTGCAACAAGAAGAAGAAGAATAAGAAGAAACTCGGTGAGACCCTCAACGTCCCAGGCAACAACAAATTCCTTGAGAGGAGCCACCTCCCTGACCACCATGAATCCCTTGACAACAACCACATCATCGACTACTATGATGACCTCTACGATGGTTATGGATTATTTAGACATGAGGGTAAGCCTAGAAAAATTAAAAAGAAGGAGTCAACACGTAAGGCCAGAAAAGTAAAAACCGAAAAGTCCAAAAGGACATGAACAGTTTGATGTTGTGCCCTATCTGAAAGGACATGAACAGTTTGATGTTGTGCCCTATCTGGTGACCACACTCAAACACATCAACTGATGTCCCCATCCATCAACAAGAGTCGTAGTCATTAAAAAAAAAAAGGAACTCTAGTAGCAGCCACCTCCTCGTGGTGAGTTCTGGATGTTTTGTGTCACTTTTAGTACATAAGGGTACACAAAATAGCTGAGAGCTGCTCACACTAATATACTGTCTATTTCTGCACATCCTGACATGTAAATCTTGTCTATGTCTGCATAGATGTATATATTGTTTGTGTCAGCACAATATATACACTGTCTTAGATAAGTTCTTATTGAATGTCATTCTATTGATAATAAGTGATCTCTATGGGTTCAGTGATTCACCATTAATCCAATATTAACATAATTATATTAATATTGTTAATAATATTAATTAAACTAAATGTATTTTGCCACTGTGGGATCTGAGAAAGGTATCTTCGATCTTTGTAACCATCATCATCGGAATTTTGCATTTCCTGGGGTTGAATTCAAGCAAACTTTTTTTTTTTTTTTTTTTTTACGATTTTTTAGTTTGTGAAGATCCTTTCATAGCCTTTCCCTGTTTTTTTTCAAACTTTATTCTGCTCATTAGTTTTACTGAGGTGTCATAACATTCACAGCAGTAAGTACTGTGTTATTCCTGCCTCAACCTCAACTTTGTGCACAGGTATCTTGTGGTGAAAGTTTTTTTATGGTGTGTAACAGTAATAGTTTTGAATCACATCAGGCCTAGTTTGGGACAGTAGGCCTACTGCAATGTTCTTATGTTATTTTGAATTATTTCTTGATTGTGGAAAATAGCAGTTAAGCATAGTTTAGGACATTTAATGAAGGATATGTTTCACCAAGAATGACTATCTTTGTACTGAACAAATCAAAATTGAAATTACACAGTTGTACAACTGTTTTAATGGAGACATAACTAAGAATAATAAAGATACCTGAACTTTATAAAACTGGGATGCTTGAAAGTGTGTGGATGTAGTGCGGATGACAAGAAACAGATGATTGCTGATGTTATGAATGAAAAGAATTTGGATGTCCTGGCCCTAAGCAAAACAAAGCTGAAGGGGGTAGGGGAGTTTCAGTGGGGGGAAATAAATGGGATTAAATCTGGAGTATGTGAGAGAGTTAGAGCTAAGGAAGGGGTAGCAATAATGTTGAAGGATCAGTTATGGAAGGAGAAAAGAGAATATGAATGTGTAAATTCAAGGATTATGTGGATTAAAGTAAAGGTTGGATGCGAAAAGTGGGTCATAATAAGTGTGTATGCACCTGGAGAAGAGAGGAACGTAGAGGAGAGAGATTTTGGGAGATGTTAAGTGAATGTATAGGAACCTTTGAACCAAGTGAGAGAGAAATTGTGGTAGGGGACCTGAATGCTAAAGTAGGAGAAACTTTTAGAGAGGGTGTGGTAGGTAAGTTTGGTATGCCAGGTGTAAATGATAATGGGAGCCCTTTGATTGAACTTTGTATAGAAAGGGGTTTAGTTATAGGTAATACATATTTTAAGAACAAGAGGATAAATAAGTATACAAGATATGATGTAGGGTGAAATGACAATAGTTTGATAGATTATGTATTGGTAGATAAAAGACTGTTGAGTAGACTTCAGGATGTACATGTTTATAGAGGGGCCACAGATATATCAGATTACTTTTTAGTTGTAGCTACACTGAGAGTAAAAGGTAGATGGGATACATGGAGAATAGAAGCATCAGAGAAGAGAGGGGTGAAGGTTCATAAACTAAAAGAAGAGGCAAGAGTGTATCAGTCTGTAGTGGAAGGAAGGTGGGGTAGGGGTCAGCCTAGGAAAGGTTGGAGGGAGGGGGTAAAGGAGGTTTTGTGTGCGAGGGGCTTGGACTTCCAACAGGCATGCATGAGCGTGTTTGATAGGAGTGAATGGTGACAAATGGTTTTTAATACTTGACATGCTGTTAGAGTGTGAGCAAAGTAACATTTATGAGGGGATTCAGGGATCCGGCAGGCCGGACTTGAGTCCTGGAGATGGGAAGTACAGTGCCTGACTCTGAAGGAGGGGTGCTAATGTTGCAGTTTAAAAACTGTAGTGTAAAGCACCCTTCTGGCAAGACAGTGATGGAGTGAATGATGGTGAAAGTTTTTCTTTTTCGGGCCACCCTGCCTTGGTGGGAATTGGCCAGTGCGTTAATAATAATAATAACTTCTTCATAAATGTAATTTTTTTTTTTTAACAAGTTGGTCATCTCCCACTGAGGCAGGGTGACCCAAAAAGAAAATATTTTCATCATCATTCAACACTTTCACCTCACTCACACATAATCACTGTTTTTGCAGAGGTGCCCAGAATACAACAGTTTAGAAGCATATATGTATAAAAATACACAATATATCCTTCCAAACTGCCAATATCCCAAACCCCTCCTTTAGAGTGCAGGCATTGTACTTCCCATTTCCAGGACTCAAGTCCAGTTATATAAAATAACCGGTTTCCAAATACACAATATATCCTTCCAAACTGCCAATATCCCAAACCCCTCCTTTAGAGTGCAGGCATTGTACTTCCCATTTCCAGGACTCAAGTCCAGTTATATAAAATAACCGGTTTCCGAAAGTTTTTCTTTTTCGGGCCACCCTGCCTTGGTGGGAATTGGCCAGTGCGTTAATAATAATAATAACTTCTTCATAAATGTAATTTTTTTTTTTTTAACAAGTTGGTCATCTCCCACTGAGGCAGGGTGACCCAAAAAGAAAATATTTTCATCATCATTCAACACTTTCACCTCACTCACACATTATCACTGTTTTTGCAGAGGTGCCCAGAATACAACAGTTTAGAAGCATATATGTATAAAAATACACAATATATCCTTCCAAACTGCCAATATCCCAAACCCCTCCTTTAGAGTGCAGGCATTGTACTTCCCATTTCCAGGACTCAAGTCCAGTTATATAAAATAACCGGTTTCCCTGAATCCCTTCACTATTACCCTGCTCACACTCCAAGAGCTCGTGAGGTCCCAAATACCATTTGTCTCCATTCACTCCTATCTAACACACACACGTATGCTTGCTGGAAGTCCAAACCCCTCGCCCACAACACCTCCTTTACCCCCTCCCTCCAACCTTTTCGAGGACGACCCCTACCCCACATTCCTTCCCCTACAGATTTATACACTCTCCATGTCATTCTACTTTGATCCATTCTCTCTAAATGACCAAACCACCTCAACAAACCCTCTTCAGCCCTCTGACTAATACTTTTATTAACTCTACACCTTCTCCTAATTTCCACACTCCGAATTTTCTACATAATATTTACACTACACATTGCCCTTAGACAAGACATCTCCACTGCCTCCTCACTGCAGCATTTACAACCCAAGCTTCACACCCATATAAAAGTGTTGGTACTATACTTTCATATATTCCCTTCTTTGCCTTCATAGATAACATTTTTTGCCTCCACATATACCTCAATGCACGACTCACCTTTTTTCCTTCATCAATTCTATGGTTAACCTCATCCTTCATAAATCCATCCCCTGACACATCAACTCCCAAATATCTGAAAACATTCACTTCTTCCATACTCCTCCCCAATTTGATATCCAATTTTTCTTTATCTAAATCATTTGATACTCAGATCACCTTACTCTTTTCTATGTTCACTTTCAACTTTCTACCTTTACACACACTCCCAAATTCACCCACTAACCTTCACAATTTTTCTTTAGAATCTCCCATAAGCACAGTATCATCAGCAATAAGTAACTGTGTCACTTCCCATTTTGTATTTAATTCCCCATAATTTAAACCATACCCCGGCCGGGATTGAACCCGCGGTCAGAGAGTCTCAAAACTCCAGACCGTCGCGTTATCCACTAGACCAGCTAGCCACAATAAGATTCGTCCAACTAGGTATATTTCTACACAATAGGAAGGTTAGCACAGGCACCACTGTGACCACAAATGCAAGTTTTTACAGACGAATCTCCAGCTAGCGTGGCCGTGACGAACTCTAGCTCAAGTCCCCTCACTGCTGTCAACATGACTCACGAAATCGTAATGACACGATTGCAAACAAACCATACCCCGGCCGGGATTGAACCCACGGTCAGAGAGTCTCAAAACTCCAGACCGTCGCGTTAGCCACTAGACCAGCTAGCCACAATAAGATTCATCCAACTAGGCATATTTCTACACCATAGGAAGGTTAGCACAGGCACCACTGTGACCACAAATGCAAGTTTTTACAAACGAATCTCCAGCTAGAGTTCGTCACGGCCCCTTTGAGTCATGCATTTCAGGTCCATTTGTCAGAATTTGAACTGGGAAGTATATAGATGCATTTTTCTTCTTCTGGAGAGTCAAGCCTCTGGTAAGGTGCTTACTGCACAAATTCTTATGCCAACCTACCCTGAGATCCAGTGGTTATGAGGACCAATACCCTGTTCTTCCTAATTTTTTTTTATTAACACACTGGCTGATTCCCACCAAGGCAGGGTGGCCCGAAAAAGAAAAGCTTTCACCATCATTCACTCCATCACTGTCTTGCCAGAAGGGTGCTTTACACTACAGTTTTTAAACTGCAACATTAACACCCCTCCTTCAGAGTGCAGGCACTGTACTTCCCATCTCCAGGACTCAAGTCCGGCCTGCCGGTTTCCCTGAATCCCTTCATAAATGTTACTTTGCTCACACTCCAACAGCACGTCAAGTATTAAAAACCATTTGTCTCCATTCACTCCAATCAAACACGCTCATGCATGCCTGCTGGAAGTCCAAGCCCCTCGCACACAAAACCTCCTTTACCCCCTCCCTCCAACCTTTCCTAGGCTGACCCCTACCCCGCCTTCCTTCCACTACAGACTGATACACTCTTAAAAGTCATTCTGTTTCACTCCATTCTCTCTACATGTCTGAACCACCTCAACAACCCTTCCTCAGCCCTCTGGACAACAGTTTTGGTAATCCCGCACCTCCTCCTAACTTCCAAACTACGAATTCTCTGCATTATATTCACACAACACATTGCCCTCAGACATGACATCTCCACTGCCTCCAGCCTTCTCCTCGCTGCAACATTCATCACCCATGCTTCACACCCATATAAGAGCGTTGGTAAAACTATACTCTCATACATTCCCCTCTTTGCCTCCAAGGACAAAGTTCTTTGTCTCCAGACTCCTAAGCGCACCGCTCACCCTTTTCCCCTCATCAATTCTATGATTCACCTCATCTTTCATAGACCCATCCACTGACACGTCCACTCCCAAATATCTGAATACATTCACCTCCTCCATACTCTCTCCCTCCAATCTGATATCCAATCTTTCATCACCTAATCTTTTTGTTATCCTCATAACCTTACTCTTTCCTGTATTCACTTTTCTTTTTTTTCTTTTGCATACCCTACCAAATTCATCCACCAATCTCTGCAACTTCTCTTCAGAATCTCCCAAGAGCACAGTGTCATCAGCAAAGAGCAACTGTGACAACTCCCACTTTATGTGTGATTCTTTATCTTTTATCTCCACACCTCTTGCCAAGACCCCCGCATTTACTTCTCTTACAACCCCATCTATAAATATATTAAACAACCACAGTGACATCAAATAATCACCCTCTTTCCTACATACTCTAACTTGAGCCTCACTATCCTCGTAAAAACTCTTCACTGCTTTCAGTAACCTACCTCCTACACCATACACCTGCAACATCTGCCACACTGCCCCCCTATCCACCCTGTCAAACGCCTTTTCCAAATCCATAAATGCCACAAAAACCACTTTAGCCTTATCTAAATACTGTTCACTTATATGTTTCACTGTAAATATCTGGTCCACACACCCCTACCTTTCCTAAAGCCTCCTTGTTCATCTG